TAACTTGTATTTATCATACAATATCTCCAATACACTATACAATTCATTATAAGAAAGATAAGATTCATCATATGAAAGAGATTACCTCATTATCACTTTTAATTGCCATGAAACATATTTGGCAATATGCTCTTCATCATCACTTAAGCTAGAGTTTGAGTCATCACTTCATGTTACTTTCATTACTTGTTTTTTTATGATGGTTCTTTTTTATATTTTAAAGGAGAAGACAATCAACCTTTATATGTCTTGTCTTGTTACATTTGTAACATCTAACTTCTTCCTTACTAGATTTCTTCTTCTTTCCATTCTTCTTAAATGTTGAGAACTTTTTGTTCCCTTGCTTTTTTCTTAGAAAATTTTAGAATTGTCTTATGATAAGTGAAATATCCTCCTCCACTTCTTCTTCATTATCATCACTATCAACATGGTGTATGATTTTGAATGCCAAATTCTTCTTTGGTTTCTCTTACAGTTCTTGCTTCTCTATGGTGATTTTATTAGTTATAAGTGATCTAATGAGTTCTTATAATAAAAGTTTGGTGAGGTTCTTAGCTTCTCGGATTACTATCACCTTTGCTTTCCAAGTCTTTGGCTAGAGCCTAAGAATTTTTCTCATGATATTGAAATTAGTATAAATCCTACCAAAAACATCTAAATTATTAGTGATAGTTATCATTCTAGTAAACATACTAGTTATGAATTTATTTGAAAGCATTTTAAATAATTCATATTGATGCACTAGCATGTCAATTTTTTATTCATTTACTTGATGTTTTCTTTTATATGTTATCTTTAATGGATGCCATATATCTCTAGTATTCTTATATGATGTGATCCTATTAAATTCACCTTTAATCAATCCACAATACAAAGTATTAATGGCTTTAGCATCCATAAATAACAATTTTTTTATCACCATCATTATACTCACTTTTAGATTTAAGAGCTGTTATATCATTTTCAATCTTAGTAGGCATATGAGGTTCATTTTCAATAGATAGCTATAAATCATAATCAATAGATTGAAGATATATAATCATCTTAGCTTTCCAATAAGTATAGTCATTATTATCAAAGAAAGATAGCCTAGAGGTTGATGATCTTTCATTTTGAACATTAAAATTAGTGGTTGTCATTTTATTCAAAATTTAAGCAAACTTATATAAATGAAAACTAAACTCTGATATCAATCGTTGTTTTAGGATTAAGACAACAATAACATTTAAAAAGGGTGAATTAATTGTTTCACTAATAATAACAATTATTAAAAATTAACTCAATTAAACATAGTTAACACAATTAACTAATAATATAATTAAAGTGGCTAAAATAAAAAATACGAGGATAGAAATTGCAAACTCAGTTTTTTAACGTTGTTTGACAAGCCTATATTCACACTTCAAGCACCGAATCAGTCTTAAGTATTGTATTCTTTACTAATCAAAGACAAAGATTACAATGTCTTTAATGAATCCTCTCCAAGCCCTTTTTACCACTTAAAGAAATATCTTCTTCAATATTTTTCACCTTGGTGATGTACCTCACCAATGACCAATAATTTTTTACAACTTTTGAAGGATTATAATTTGTTTGAAATATAATAAAACTCTCTAAAAGAGTAAACAATACAATTAAAGCTTATATCTCTATAGCCCACTCAATAACATATGAATTTTTTTAAGTATAATGACTACGAGAATTTATACTTTTTTATAAAAATATGAAGGTTTTATTGCACAGATATGAATATGATTTAAGATTTGATGATTTGAAGTTGTTTTTGCTCTTAAAATAGCTTGTATGAGATATATTCAATTTCAGTATTTAACTCTACAATTAGACAAGCTATATATATAGCAAAAATTAGATGCTTTTATAGCCGTTATTGTTTCTCTGACAAATGAATTGATCAATTGGTTCAGATTGGTCAAGCTAATTTATCTTTTATTAGTCAACTAGTTTATACATATTGTCAAGTGTTCATTCCTAATGAATAAGAGGTTAACCGGTTCACTTGGTATGACTAAGCGGTTGACTAGTTTAACTTAAAATCTAATTTTAACATTTTTTTAGCTTGATAAATCTTGAACCAACTAAATACATCATATAATACATGCAATGTGAAGTGTGTGAATTCAATTTAATTTATGCTATTAAGTTAGATATAAAGATTTATATAATTTTGCACTAAAATAAATCCTTAAGAACTAAGTTTTTATTTGCTTTGCATCTTGGATTTGTTAATTGATTTCTTCGTTTAATTCTCCATACTTGTTGATGATCTTCATATAAATCTATTTAAACTTATTCTCAACTAAGTATATTATTAGTCTAATTTCATTCAATTATTGTCATCAAAATACATAAAATATAAAATATGTGACCCAAAGGTCAACACAAACATACCAAAAAGATATATCAAAACTCAAGCATTTTATTTTATTTCGATTTGATTTATGGTTTTTGAATGAATTAAATAGTGTTTTAAGCTAGAAAAACTTTTTTTATAGAGATTTATAGGGTGTTTTTAGGTTAAAACAAGTTGAGATTTGAGTTTTTGAAATCTAAAACTCTCAGACCCTAACTTCCTAATAATTAAAGGTGGTTGATATTTGAACCAAAAGGCGACGCGTTGTTTGCTCAAGTGAATGATATATTGTTTGCCCATATATATATATATATATATAGGTGCCCATACATGGCTTTCCAAGCCCATATGCGTCCATGCATTTTTCTTCTAAGCCATACCTACAATCTCATCGAATGCACTTGGTTATTAACTCTACCTACAATCTCATCGAATGCACTTGGTTAATTTGTTAAATAACTCTTAATATTTTTTTTTTAATTTTTAGTTTTAATATAAAATTATATTAAAATAAATATATTAAAATGACATTTAAACAATGATTCAATTATAACATATTTTTCAAGAAGCTTATAGCTTTTTATGGTAATATTAACAATTACTTTATGAATAATTATATTAACTCAATATATATATATATATATATATATATAGTAAATTCTCAATAAAAATAGAATATTTATTTTATTTTTATTTTTATTTTTTTTTCAAAATTTTAATTCTCAGATTTATTCATATATGTAAATAAAAATGATGGATTAATTTTTTTAATATTTTTTTAATTAAAATTTGTTCTCACAATCATTATAACTTTTTTTAAAAACATTGCTTCCAATAAAAAAAAATCTTTTCATAGAAAGAAAAGGAGATATACATGAACAAAGAAATAAAGTCTTTAATTAAAAATATACATTTGTTTTCTCTCTAATTAAAGCCATTAGATTTTTTATGAATACTTGTTTTAATTATTATTATTTTTCAATAAAATATGATGATAATAAAAAAAACATGTTATTTTAAAAACAAAAAACATTACATGAATATGAAAAGATAATTTTGACAAAAAATAAATACATTTATTGTCTTTATTATAAATATTTATTTAATTTTTATATAATTAAATAAAAATAAATTAAAAAATATCTCGAGACAACACAAAATATACTAGTACTACATGTCATGCTCGTATGATGCCATGAGCTTGTGGCATACTTGTGCATTATCGTGGGTTTATAGAAAAAATAATAAATATATATATATAGAGAAAAATTGTTGTAATTCATAATATTTTTAAGAAAAAATAATTACAAAGCTAATTTCTTAATCAGCTTAATATTTAAAAAACAAAATGAATAAAAAAAATCACTTAATCAGCTTAATATTTAAAAAACAAAAATCATAAAAAAATCATAAAAAAAATCATGTGAGAAAACACTGTAGCAATCTATAATGTTTTAAAGAAAGAAACTAGGAAGCTAAATTCTTAATCAGCTCAATATGAAAAAATAAAATAAAAAAAAAAGATAGAAAACTATGCAAGGAAACACTATAGCAATTTACAGTATTTTATGAGAAAATCTACATAATTTATAGTATTTTATGAGAAAATCTATATTTTTAATTCTCAACCAGTTTAATATTAAAAATAATAAAATTAATAAAAACAATTTAAAAAAAATCATATGGAAAAACATTGTAGCAATTCATGATGTTTTAAAGAAAAAAACTATGAAGTTAAATTCTCAACTAGCTCAATATGAAAAAAAAAATGACAAAAATAATTCTAAAAAAAAAAATCATAAAAATACTATGTGAAGAAACACTATAGCAATCCACAGTGTTTTAAAGAAAAAAACTACAAAACTAAATTCTCAACCAGCTCTATATTAAAAAAAATATAAAAAAAATCTAAAAACAAAGCAAAAAAATGCTCCATATTAAAAAAATTAAAAAAAAAATTCTAAAAACAAAGAAAAAAATGAAAAAAAAATGTAAAAAAAGTTAAAACTGAATTTTCGATGATCTCAATATTAAAAAAAATGACAAATATAATTTTAAAAAAATATTGGTAAACATTATAGCAAAACAAAAACCATATAGAGAAACATTGTAACAATCTCTAGTATTTAAAAAAAAATTATAAATCAAAATTCTTAACCAACTTGATTTAAAAAAAAAATTGACAGAAATATTTTAGAAAAAAAATTCATAAAAAAAACTATGTAGGGAAATATTGTAATAATCTATACATTTTTTTGACATGTAGGGAAATATTGTAGTAATCTATACATTTTTTTAAAAAAACTGCATAACTGAATTTTTAACCAATTCAATATTAAAAAAAAAAATTGACAAAGATATTTTAAAAAAAACAATATTGGAGGAAAAAAAACATATAAAACCCAAAAAACAAAAAAATATGAGAAAAAAGGAAGCTTTTTAGAATATTAATTAATTATTCTAATTTGTATTTGTAAGGAACCTTGCAATACTTTTTCCACGTTTTTTAGACGCTTTTTAATACGCTTTTTAGAGCATTAGTTAATTATTCTAATTTGTATTTGTGGGGAATGCGAATTCGACACCATCAATCGAAAATGAAATTGAAAAGAGACATAAGCTTTCCAGCTGCAAAATGGGCCTACATGCTAAATGATTTTATCAAGGAAAGCTCCATTTGTGGGAAACTTACGTTCAAAGCATCTACCATCCCATTAATTATTTCAAAAGAAAACTGAAACTCTTTACGCTTGCTTTAATCAACTTTATCCATTTGTTCTATGTCACCTTCAATTAATTAACTGTTCTATGGCTCTTGAAATCATAGCACACTATGCTGCTGTGTACTTGCAAAGGTTCTCAAAACCCATATATTCATGCCGCTCCATCATTCCAATCGTTCTTGTTATGCCAACCCCACCTACCAAATTGAAGTAAAAAAGGGTCTTCAGGATCTGAAAATTACTTTACCATGCTGAAAAGAGGAGAAGGCAGCTCCTAACAGCCTCAAATTATAAATTTACTGAATCTTACCTAGTGCTATGGCACTGATAAATATTGTGAAGGCTAGCACAAAGATGATGAGGGATGCCCTTCCAGATAGAGTGATAAGTTTTGTGATGATATTTTGACCAATAAAGGCAGCAATGATGGCCACAGCAATAAAGTAGAGAGCTGCAATGCCAATTGCATAGAGTATATTTGAGTGCTCAGCATTCTATGACTTGTGAGAAGAACATGGATATTTTTGATGAATTGTAGGTGCAGGGGGACACTAACTCACCATAAGGTACAGGAAAACGATCCAAGAGATAATATTCTACTACAGACATTGATGAAGAGAACAACATCCCGAAGGTGGCTGTGCCACTCGTTACCTGGGCAAGGATTGCGTAGTTAGGTGCTAGGGCTAATGGTCCAACGTTGATATATATATATATATATATATATATATATATATGTCGCTACGTAGTTACATTTGCAAGGATGTTCTGTTAGAAATAAAGAAATGTGCACAAACCTGAGGAGGGATTCCCATTTCCAAAAACAATGGACCCATGATAAATCCTCCACCTATTCCAAGCAGGCCACCCACTATTCCAGCCACCACACCACAGGCAGAAAACATGAGCAAGCGGTGCACTTGCCAATCCATGATTTCATCCCCCTTGGATGAAATTCTCCGTCTTCCCTTGTACAGACCGATGGCCTCGTAAAGAAAGACTCCGATGGAAACTGGAATCTGTTAAAACATGGAAAGCATCCTTCAAACCGGATATGAAATAAAATCAGAAATCAAGATGATTTGCACCAACAGAACATGTATACCTGCAACAAGTTTAATACCCAGAAAGTTGTTGAACATGTGGCTGTATAGTTCTGTTGCCAAGGAGATGACAACTTTTAGTTTATTATAAAGAGAAATATGGTATGATACAATGATTTTGGACAAGAAAGGAAATAAAACCTTGGCAATCTGAACAGCAAGGTATGACACCCAAACAAAAACAAGAAGTCCAAGTTCCTTCCAATAAATATTCTGAAGTATGGTAACCTGCATTAATTATTCACCTATGTTAATCACAAAACAATAATGTCCTGGCTCATTTTCCACGGTAAACCAACCTTCAATACCTTGCTAGCCTTTGGAGGATTGTTGCCTTGTCCATCTGGAAGAGGTTTGTATTCAACTTCCTCACTACCACCTGCTACAACATAACAGTTCACACATGTTAACTTCAGAGGAATGGACAGTGAGCTAGAATTGCTTTAAATAGATTCGCAAGACTTGAAATCAAACTGCAGACTATCTCACCAGTTGACTCGAAAAGCTTAGCAGCATCCTGAAATCAAAATCAAGTGAGAGTAAAAAGTATAAAATTGGTTAATTTTTGTTATTTGTGGCTGATATATAAGGTTAATTATGAGGCATAAAACCATTGGTATATAGAATTTCCAGGGTGTCCATACTATAAATGCTCCAGATCATAACAACAAGCAAAAAAAGCATACACACTACCTCTTTCAATAAGGTTTCTATTTTCCATATATCAAGACCCTTGAAAAATGCCTTCACTGATGTCCCTGAAAACCACCACAAGCAATCAAGGGTGTTAGTAAAAGAGGAAATTATGGTAATCAGAACTTCAATGCAACTAACATTACCTATGCACAGAATTATTAGGGCAACTGTGATCACCCAATCAGGAAATATCACATTGAAAGTGACACCTATGCTAATCCCCAGCATGAGCATTGGCTGAATAAGGAGCACCAGATCATAGTCAATCACAGGCAAATCAAGTGTTGGATGCCTTAGTCGAAGGTTATGGTAAACCGTTGAGACTGCTGCTCCCATGATTATACCTGAAAAAAGTAAACGCAGTCTAAGATATAATTGATTACACTCACTCTCAGCACCTTCCGTTGCAATCAGCAACTAGCTTCTTGTTCCCATAAAAAAAAAAAAAAAACAGCGTTTTGAGTCTGAATCCAAGCCAACTGCCTCAGGCAATAGATGAATCCAGCTTAGACCAACAAAATCAAAGGTTCAAAAGGAATCGAATGTATATCATTGTGCATTTCCCAATTAAAGATTTCAGTGAGATACAGAGAGGTCCTATCAAAAGAAACTTTAGACATTACATTTTGATATAGCTGTTGCTGATTTTGGATCAAACCCAATAATCAGGATCAGCATGGGAACGAAAATGCCGCCACCACCAACACCACCTACACTTCCAAATGCTGCTCCAAAGAATCCAATTATAGTACCAATAACAGCTTGCCAACTAAAACTTAGTTCCTGCATGAGAAAAGAAAATGATGGATAGAGTTGTTATATATGCCAACAGAGATTCTTCATGCAAGATAATACATCAAAAACCAATCACTGTATTTGATAGAAACAAAATCAAGTTTTTGAGTTACCGGCCAAACATGTTGATAACCAGATTCATCAGACTGCCATAAGAAACTAATGATTTTCACAAGGTAATTAGGCTCGAGTTCTTCTGCTTCACTCAATCTAGACACTTCATGTTTTATGCTTCTTTCAGCAGAAATAAACACAGAAGCTAACATGAAAATGAAGAAAAGTATTGCTGATGGTCTCAAAGATAAAAATCTGGCTCCAAGAAAAGCCATCAAACAAGAACCTCTCTGCTTCTGTGTGTCTTAGCAATGCGAGGCAGTATGAAACAGTGAGAAAAAAAAAAAAGAGAAGAAAAACACTACCAAAATTTGCAGAGAAGATTTTGGAGAGTACAATTGAAGGCTGGAAAGGTAATCAAAATGTTTTCTTTTTTCTCAAGAGAAACTTAGCTGACACAAGATTCAAGACAACTACACGTTTATGGGAGACAAGACAAGACTGTACAGGGCAAAATTATTATGATCCTCTCAATTTTTTTTAATTATTCTTTATATATATATATATTGGGTTAAGGCATAATTTAAATTTTAATTAAAAAATAAAAATATCTATACATGTAATATTATTATTTTTAACAGAAAAATTAAAGGATATAAAAAAATTATTCTTCGCTTGTACCTATCATACCCTGAATTACAATAATAATTTATAATGTATTTTTAAAATTTTTTTATTTATTTAATATTTTAATTTAAAATTGATTAAAAATTAAGTATAACTCAAATTACCTCGATTTACAAGTTTGGTAATATATATATTAATTAAACTTGATTTTGTAAACATTTATCTTTTTCCTCACATAATTAGAAAAAAATAATGTTTTAAAAAAATCATATTATTAAACTTTAAAAAGTTTATGAATTCGTTTACAGGTTTGGCTGATTGACATGGTTCATGAATCTGATAAATTTATTTATTTTTTTGTTAATTTTTTATATAAATAATAAGTTAATTGAGAATTTGGTTTTATAATTAGTTTTATCTTGCTGGTCAACTTCTCTAAATTTTGTTGACTCTTGGGATAAAAAAATAATTTTATTGTATAAAAAAATTAAAAAATATATATACACCTCCAAACAATTTTTTAATGATTATTGAGCCTAGTGAAAAAACTTAAACACGCCTAAACCAAAAACTTAAATTTAAGTCTCTAAAAAGTAAAAAAATAATTTTATTATCATAACCCATAATAATCTGTATTTAGAACTATAGTAAAATCTCCATATTATTTAACTTTTTTTTAAAAAAATATTGTTGTGCAAAGTAAAAAAATAATTTTATTATCATAACTCATAATAATCCGTATTTAGAACTATAGAAAAATCTCCATATTATTTAACTTTTTTTAAAAAAAATATTGTTGTGGTGATGTTTTCTAAAGAATTAATATTAATAAATATAGTTGAGACTAGCTATTTTTATTTTTTAGAAAACGCTCTTTCCATATTAAATTACAAATCCAAAGCTAAAATTTCAAACCCTAAATTTAAAATCCAAACCTTGGTATCTCAATCCCAAATTAAAAAATGGTATGCTTTGTCAAAAATTACTAAATCAAATATAACCCTGCTGATAAATAATGCTGGAATTGTATATCTATAAAACACTCTATTATTAATAAAAAAACTAATAAAATTAAAAGTATAAGGATATTATGGTTTTTATAAAGTCTTCTGATGTAAAAAATATGAAGATCATTTTAAATGATATAAAAATTGAACGAAATAAAAAAATCCAACAATATTCTGTCATAAGAGTTTTTAAGATTTAAAAAATAATTATAAAAAAAATCTTATTTTTAATAAAAATAAATAAATATGTAGACTTTTATATTGTGTTTTCTGACATAAAAGAATTCTAACTATAAATTAATATACTGTATAATTGTTTGAAGGTTTATTTATTTATTTATTTATTATTGCGAAAGATACAATTGGGGATAACGTAGTTTCAGGTATTGAAAGGGACAAAATACAACCGTTGATGAAGACTTTTCCACTTGTGTTCCCACTCATTAGCAAGACGTGACGACATCATTAGTAGTCACCATCCGTTGAAAGTGATTCCCCACCACTTAGCCTTCTTGAAATTATTAACATCAATGATAGAAGTGGCAAGGGGCAGTTTTGCAAAATATTATAAAGTTTTTTTTTATTATTATTATAACATTTTTATTTTTTTTCTTCTACAAACTAGTAACATCAATGATAGAAGTGGCAAGGGGCACTTTTGCAAAATATTATAAATTTTTTTTTTTTATTATTATAACATTTTTATTTTTCTTCTTCTACAAACTACATAGTTATTTTCATAACCCAATTTTGGGTTTCCAAAATATATTTTATGTAAAAAATATATTTTTTTGAAATATTTAAAAATTAAAAAAATCATAAATTTAAAATTCAAAAATATTTTCAGGACATAAATAAGTGAGCTTTCGAGATGTAACATATTAAAACACTAAAAAAATAATCAGATTAAAATATTGTTGATGAAATAGGCTAAAAATGCATAAATTGAAAGTTAGATGACTAGATTGAATCAAATAGAAATGGTTGAGAACTTATTTGCATCAATAAAGGGTCTAATTGAAGAAAAAAAATAAGAATTTGAGATCAAATTCAAAAAAGATATTGCAAATCCTCACAAACTAGAAAAATAATTAAGTTATGGACTTACTTGGGCTTTAGATGGGCCAATTGATTTAATTAAGGGTTTAATCGAAATAAAAATTAAGCTTGAAAGTCAATTTAGCCAAAATTTGAAGAGTTAATTAAATTTAATGGCTTAATTAAACTTTTAATGAGTTTAATTGACTTAATTAAGGATTTAATTGAAGCAAAATTAAGTTTGAAAGTCAATTTGACCAAATTTGAAGGAATTAATTAAATTTAAAGTTTTAATAAAAATTTAAATGGGTTCAATTAATTTAATTAAGGTTTTAATGAAAGTAAAATTAAGTTTTGAAAGTCAATTTGGCTAACATTAAAAAAATTAATTAAGTTCAAGGGTTTAATTAAACTTTTAATGTGTTTAATTGATTTAATTAAGGATTTAATCAAAGCTAAATTAAGTTTGAAAATCGATTTGGATCAAATTGAAAAAGTTAAATAAATTCAAGAACTTGATTAAATTTTTAATGAGTTTAATTGACTTAATTAAGGAATTCATTTAAGGAAAATTAAGTTTGAAAGCTTATTTGACCAAAATTAAAATAATTAATTAAATTCAAAGGCTTAATTAAACTTCTAAATGATTTAATGGAATAAATTAAAAACTTAAATTGAGTGAAGATTCAATTTGGAGGTCTAATTCAGGTTAAAATAGAATATCTAAAATTACAATCGAGAAGTTTGATATTACAACTAATAATTCATAATTTCCTAGTCTACACAAAAACAACAATTAATAATTACTCTTAGCGAGCTTGTAAGTTACTTGTAACAAAATCAATAATATTTACTAAGTTAATATATTATGTAACACTGAAAGAAAATAATAACTTTTCTTCTAGAAAATAATAACTTTTCTTCTAGATAATATTTAATCCATTCTTTATAATAATCCAAATTTCTTTTTACATGGAATTATCCAACCTTAAATAAACTCATGATACCATTTTCATAATAAAACTAGTATTACAATACTCTCTTTTAAATGTTTATTGCTTCAGCATATCCATCTTAGTTACCAATCAATTCAATATTTACATTTGAAAATCAATAATTTGGTTTCCTTAAACAATCTAGCTAACCCATCTTGGTTGCTAATTAATTTGAAATTCCCATTCGAAAGCTAATATTTTGGTATTTCTTAAAGAATATTAGTCAACCCGATCAATCTATCTTGACTGTCAATCAAGTTGACATTCCTATTCGAAAGCCAATGGTTAATTACCAACCAATTCAGTCAACCCATCTTGGTTGATAATCAATTCAGCTTTTTTATTTGACAACCCATCTTGGTTGATAATCAATTCAGCCTTTTTATTTGGAAGGAAGCCAGTAAATTGATATTCCTCAACAAATACCAATCAATCTAGTCAACCCATCATGGTTGCCATTTAATTCAACATTCCTATTTGGAAACCAATAATCAAGTATTACTTACTGAATACCAGTCAATTCGATCAACTTATCTTGGCTAACAATCAATTCGGCCTTTCAATTTGGAAATTAATAACCCGATATTCATTAATGTATACCAATTAATCCGGTGAACCCATCATGGTTACCAATCAATCCGACATTTCCGTTTTGAAGCCACTAATCCAGTATTCTTTAAAGAATGTTAACCAATCTCATTAACCCATCTTGGTTGTCAATCAATCCAGCGTTCCCATTCGAAAACCAATAATTTAATATTTCTTAATGAATATCAATCAATTCGTTCAACCCATCTTGTTTGCCAATCAATCTGACCTTTAGACTCAAGATTGTGGATTTTAAGTCTACAATATTGTTCGAGATCACCATTCATTTAAATAAGTCTTGCTTTAGTAGGTATATGTTTTTCTAAAAAAGTATCTTCATAAAGAAGATCAACATGTTGTTTTCTTTTCCAGAAAACATTGGGTAAGTCTGAACAAAGTTATTGTTCAATCTTACTTTGGAAATCATTGATTTTCTTTTATAAAACAGGATTTTGTAATTGTTTATCGATACAACAAAAGAAAACATGATTGTGTAAATAGAATTGCTTTCCATAAATCAATGCATTAATTTAATAGGTATGTATAGAGCATGTTTTAAGTAGATTTAAATTTCTAGTCTTAGATTTTTTTAAGAATGGAAAAATAAGTTTGATGCTATTGATTTTGAAGGTAATACAATCATGATGTGCTTTATATGAAGTGATTATGTCAATGAATGAGGTGCCAAGAATGATGGTATAATTAATATCTTTTGTATCGATAAAGAATGTTTTAAAGAAAATGCCATTATTGAAAACAAAGGCTTGCGTTTTGCCTGCAATATTTAATCTTGAATTGTTAGCAGCAGAAAGTTTTTCAGCGGTAGTTTGTAAAAATCTTTTTGGAACTACGCCTTCTTTAATGTAGTTTAAATATGCACCTGTGTTAAATAAGATAATAGTGTTTAGTTTGAAATCGTCTAAAAAAACTAATGTAATTTTAATCAAATATTTTTTGGAGGATATTTGAGTTAATACATTCAAGAAATCATCTAGAATATTATTTCTTGAATGTATTTCTCAATGTTTGAAAAAACTAAATCTGAACCAGAAGACCAAATCATTGAAACCCATGCATTATCTCGTACATATACAAACATTGAGCATATTTTAGATGATTTCTTGAATGTCTTAACCTAAATATCCTTCAAAAAATATTTGATTAAAATTACATTAGTCTTTTCAGACAATTTCAAACTACATATTATTGTCTTATTTGACACATGTGTATATTTAAACTACATAGTTTCAAAAAAAAATTACAAACTATCTCTGAAAAACTCTCTGCTACTATCAATTCAAAATTGGATATTGCAGGCAAAATGTAAGCCTATATTTTCAATAGCGGCATTTCTGTGAAAACATTCTTTGTCATTATAAAAGATATTAATTATACCATTATTTTTGGCACCCCATTCATCAACATAATCACTCTATATAAAGCACATCATGATTGTATCACCTCTAAAATAAATAGCATTTAACTTGTTTTTCCATTCTTAGCAAAATTTAAGACTAGAAATTTAAATCTACTTAAAGCATGCTTTATAAATACCTATTATATTAATGCATTGATTCATGAAAAAAATTCCATTTACATGATTTACAAAACCCTGTTTTCTTTTGTCATATCAACAAACAAATACAAAACCCTGTTTTATAAAAGAAAATCAATGATTTCCAAAGTAAGATTGAATATCAACTTTGTTCATACTTACCCAATGCCTTCTGGAAAAGAAAACAACATGTTGTTGATCTTCCTATGAAGATACTTTTTCAGAAAAACATATACATACTAAACCAAGACCTATTCAAATGAATGTTGATCTTAAACAACATTGTGGACTTGAAATCCACGATCTCGAGTCTAAATGTCTTATTCAAAAATTTAGATTATCATGGTTGTGTGTAGCCTTCTATGTAAATAAAAACTTTCAAATTGAAAGAGGCACACTAAGGGTTATGATCAACTACAAACTCTTAAATTCTGCTTTAAAATAGATTAGATATTCAATCTCAAACAAAAAAGATTTATTACAAAAATTACATTCTGCATTTATACTTTTCAAATTTGATATGAAATTCAGATTTTGACAAATTCAGATTAACCCTAAAGATCGATACAAAACCACATTCACAGTTCTTTTTTGCCAATATAAATAGATTGTTATGCCTTTTGGACTTAAAAATACACTTTCTGAATTCCAACGCATTATAAATGACATCTTCCATACACATTCAAAATTCAGTATTGTTTACATTAATGATTTTTTTATTTTTTCTCACTCAATAGATCAACATTTTAAGCATCTACATATATTCTTTCATACTGCATAACAAAATAGATTAGTTATTTCAAAATCCAAGATTTCTCTACTCCAAACTCATGACCGTTTTCTAGGCCATTATATTTGTCAAAATACTATAACATCTATAGAGCAATCTTTATCCTTTATAAATAAATTCCCTAATAAGATCACGGACAAGAAGAGTTGCACTATTCTTAAAGACACAACCTTTTATTTATTTGTTTTTCTATATTAACATAAAAATTAGATTTCACCTTTTAAAATAGCACAAGAATTATATTGAACTAACTTTGGTAGTGTCGTGTGCTATTAAAAATAACATAAATTATTATATTATTATTTGTTGCACTTCTTCTTCTGATGTAACTATCTAAATTATGCACCCTTTTCTCTTTTCTTGTTTTTTTTTTTTCTAACTATGCCACTTTGCAAACAAAATTTGTCATATATGCTATTTCAAAATATAAACTCATCATTTATTGATAGGAATTGTGACTGTTAAACAAAATTAAATGGCATACTTTCAATATATCTCATCACAGCTAATATTTCTCATAGATAAAGTGGTCGAGTATGACATGAAAAGTATCTATAAGTTCTTAAGAACACAAAATTTTTGTGTTTACTCCTACATCCCTCTAGCTAAAGCCCAAGAGTTGGTAGGGAGCATGCAACATTTTTCATAGCCTCGTTAAATAAATTACAACACAAGGGAATTTAAATATGTCAAAAAAAACTTAAAGCATAAGAAATTGCTAGTCATCATGCTTGCAGAGATTTTCAAATCCCATGTATTCTTGATGATGAATCTTTCCAATGATGTTTGATATGCCAAAACCACCTACCAAAGAAAGTAAAGAACAATATTTTATAAATTCATAAAGGTCAAAGAATTGTTGAAATTGATTTTATGAAACATGTATTGAGTTTTTTTTAAGGTCATACATTCATAATTGAGGTTAAGCATGATGAATATGATTCCACTACAATGACAATTATGGATGTTTAGTATCACAATAATTTCACGTGCAAAAAAAACATCTTGAATGGATTAGACAATGAATTAGATGACATGCATAGTTCAATTAAAAGTGCAAAGGCATTGTGAAAAACTTTGGAGAAGAAGTATAAGGCTAAAGATGCCAACATAAAGAAATTCATAGTCGGTAAATTTATAGGTTTCAAAATGGTTGATTCAGTTACTATTATGAGCTAAGTTTAAGAGTTTTAACTCATCTTGTATGATATACATGTTAAAGGTATGTCACTACATGAATCTTTTCAAATGTCTACAGTAATTGAAAGATTATCATTATCTTGAAAAGATTTCAAGAACTATCTTAAACAGAAGTGCAAAGAAATAGGGGTTGGAGACTTCAATTTAAGATCGAGAATAAAAGCAGACAATAAGTTGTCTAAAAGAAGAGTCAACTCTTATAATGCCTTTAAAGCAATTATTATGGAACAGGTGGTGATAGTTCATAATTAAAAAAATAAAAAGAAGAAGCTTATTATGAAAGGAAAAAGAATTGCCAAGAAGTTTAATAAAAAATACTTTATTTACAATAAGATTGGGCACTTGTTCAAGGTTGCAGAAATAAAAGTGAATGAAAGGACATGGAGAAAATGGTTTCTCAAGTCAATGTCCTTGAAGTTGATCATCTCACAAATTAAGTATTTAGAATGTATGTGTGTATTAGTTATTGTTTTTGAAGTCAATCTAGTCAATAATCTTGAATAATCCTGAGCAATAATGAATTGATATTGTTGACAAGACACATGTACTCCGAGAAGATGATGTTTTTCATTTACAATGAAAGGTGAAAACTTGTACATGGAGAACTCATTAACCTTCAAGATACTAGGAATAGAGTTATTCTGAAAATAACTTTTGAAAACTTTTCACCCTCGACAATACTCTATGTTGCTTGGAGGTTAAAGAGTTTAATGACAATAACCATACTTAGTTTAATGGAGTTTTCAAGATTTAGGTTAAATGAAAAATTAAGTCATACAAGTCCTAGTCTTGGATAGGTGAAAAGAAAGTTAAACATTTTTTAAGTTTTTTTTCTTTGTTATTAGTTTTTCTAATACTTGTTATTCTATTCATTCTTTCTGCTCTCCATCTTATAAATCCATCTTTGTGGAGAAAAATGGAGTTCATTCCATTAAGTTTATAGATTTTAAAAAGAAGTGCATCTTTTCATAATGATGTTATGAAATTCCCAAGAGGCAATTGCAAATGCACTATTTGCATCAAATGATAAGCAATTACGTCTGAAAAACAAAGGATTCAATACTTGACAGCAACATTAAATTCCTTATTTCCTTTTGATATTTATTTGTTATGTCACATGATTTTTTAAAAAAATTGTTGGTCATATAAATCCTATGCTTAGTTTTTTAAAATTTTAAGCACACATATTTTTTATGTAAGTGATGTTTCCTTTAACAAAGATTTACAAATTTACAAAATAATAATAATAATTTCCAAAAAGAATTTTAGAGCATAATTCCAGACCCTAAATAATAAGTAATAGAACTCACCTAGTAAAATTGCACTGACAAATATAGTAAAAGCTAGAATGAAGATGATAAGAGAAGCCCTTCCAAACACAATGATCAACCTTCTCACAATATGCTGCCCAATGAGCGCAGCAAATGCAGCAACAACGACAAAGTAAACAGCTGCCATAAGATTTGAAATATTTAAGTCCATTGGAACGTCTACAAGCTACATTCCAATATACTTTTGGAAAATAACGTCTTTAGATTGTTGAGGCGAAGAGAACAGGCAGATTAAACTTGTAAGAGAAGTTGTATGAATGTTGTGAGCACTCTTACCATAAGGAACAGGAAAACGTTTCAGAAGGTAGTATTCTACAACAGACATGGATGACGAGAAAGTCATGGCAAAGGTGGCAGTCGCACTTGAGACCTGGACACAAGTCGTGAAGCAATTAAGATTATTTTGCCCTTCATTGGCTTTGTGGCCTGCCAACATATAATTCTAAAGAGTATGATATTTAAGTTTAGTCATAATTCAGAAAATGTCCACAGATACTGATATCAGGAATAAATACAGATAATTCTAAGGAGTATGGAAGTCTTCGGTGAAGTTAAAACAGAAGCCATGAATATGCTCTCTAGCCACGGGTAAATCTGCTTCGCAAAATCATTTTGTTAACTTATCCTGGTTATTCTCAGAGCAGAAGCTGGATAACTGAATTCCATGCTTAGGCAACATCAAAACTACCATGCAAACTTAATCAAGTTCACAAAGCCAGCCATTATGATTAACAAGGACTTGATCCGCAGGGTCAGAATTATGGTGATTGCGAATTTATTCATTTTTATTCTTTCAAGCAACTAATGAAACAGAGCAAGCTAACCTGAGGAGGAACTCCGAGCTCCAAAAATAGTGGACCCATGATAAATCCTCCTCCTAATCCAAGCAGCCCACCCACCACTCCAGCCATCACACCGAGGGCACAATAGGTCATGAGCTGAAGGACTCTGAAATTTGTGCCGTCGTCTCCTTTGGATGCAATTACTCTGCGTCCCGTGTACAGGCTGACTACTTCATAAAGTGTCACCCCAACAGAAACTGGGATCTGGAAACCACAGAATGGAGGATTCAAACAAATTTTCCAACTTACACGTGGTATTATTATATTTATGTGAATATATATTTATTATTAATAAAAAATTAATTAATTTTTAATATTTATGTAATATTAGACTAATAAATCTAATATTTGATTTATAAATATAGAGTAGAGATAAAGTCCATGAAACAGAAATATTTTTCAAAAGAAATTATGAAATTGTTATAATTATGAAATTTCTATTATATCAAAATATTGTTTCTAAAATGTCAATGGTCCATACTCTCTTAGATATTAAATATTTATTAGAGCTATAAAAACTAATATATATTATGTTCTTTTTTATGAAAGAACTCTCTTAAATATTGAATATTTATTAGAGCTATAAAAACTAATACATATTATGTTCTTTTTTATGAAATGAAGCAATTATTTTTATAAGTTTAAGCATAAAAGATACCTAAAACTAATTGTTATAAGACATGTACACTAAACTGATCTACATAAGAATTTCATATAGAGAGATCACATATATCTATGAAAAGGCTCCCGCAATGGTTATGTAAGTGATCATTAGACTTGATATCACTAAGTTATCTTATATAGAGAATATTATACTTTGATCTTGTTATATGTTATTTTAATTAATGTAGCTAAAGGGTCATTAGGTATAACATGAACTATATGAAGGTATTTAAGTAATTAAGAGAGAATTTATCACCCTAAGTGATCAATTACGGAAAATATTCCATCTATTCTCAAATAGTATTGGTTCATAAATTTTTGTTCAAGGTAGAATGAGATTTGAAAAAGATTTCAAATCTTATTCAAACGATCAATAACTATTATGTAGAGAACAAACATGATTTAATATGAAAAATATATTTCATATTTTAATGTTAAAGTGAAATATTATTAATGAAAGGATATTAATTAGACTGAAAAACTAATCACTAAAATGTTAAATCAAACAACTAATGATTTTTATAATATTTAGGAAATCATGACATGTTGTTAAACAATATACCTGATCTTCAAATATAAATTAATTAATCATTGAATTGATAATAAATTAATTCGCTTAATTTTTTATTATTTAATTAGAGTTATAATTTATATTTGGATCAACATATTAGGAACCAAGTCATCCACATTAAAAATCATTAGTCATAAATTAAACTTGGATAATTTAATTAAGTATGACCTAATTAAAATATATTTTAGAAGTTAAAGACTATAATATAATTAATATATGGATTATATTTCTAGATCTAGAAAAATCAAATACGAAGACTTGATTAAGTTAATTTCTAAATTTTTTCTAAATTAATATACGAATATTATTTAAGGGCAAATTGTTATTTACCAATTTATAAAAAAAAAATAGATTTCTTTATAAATAGTAAGTTATATCTTTTTTATTTTTAAGTGGTTGCTTGTTAGATAAAAAAAAATATGTAAATCACATAATAAAGAGCGATTATTGTAGGTATAATAATTATTCTTATCTAAATAGAAATTTAAAAGACTTTTTATTAATTATTGATATGAATTATTGTTAGAAACCAAACAATAAATAGTAAATTATATCTTTTTTATTTTTAAATGGTTGCTTGTTAAATAAAAAAAGCTATGTAAATCACATAATAAAAAGCGATCATTGGAGGCATAATAATTATTCTTATCTAAATAGAAATTTAAAAGAATTTTTATTAATTATTTATATAAATTACTGTTAGAAACCAAAAAACTAGCTAACTTGTAATTTACAATAACTCAACTTTTTAAAAATTAGTAAAAACCAAAAACATTAAATCTTCTAATAATAAGTTCTTAAACAATCTTTAGCAAAAACAATGAACTCTCAAATAATTTTATTTTATTATTTTATATATATAATCTTCAGAGACCCAGCAATCAATTCTCAACCATGCAAGATCATTCTTAGATCCACGTGCAGACACAACCATAAATGCACAAAAAGAAGAAAGGATAGAGCCCACTATTGCGATAAAAGTACCTGTGACAAGTTTAACACCCAATATCCTATCGAACAGGTAGATGTACTCTCCTGTGAGCAAAAGATCTCATCATTTAGACATTGATTTAATATAAGCTAGGAACAAAAAGGTAGAATGTAATCGAAGCACAACAAAACCTTTGCAATCTGCAGCACGAGGAATGCAACCCAAACAAAAACAAGAAGTCCGAGTTCCTTCCAGTAAACATTCTCAAAAACAGTGATCTACAGTAATAAATTGTATTAGTTTTGAAGACTCTTTGATGCTGATTTCAGCTAACAAAGTTCTCTCACCTCTAGTTCCTTGGTCTCCTTTTGAGGGCTGTCGCTCGGGCCACCAGGAAGAGGCTTGTATTCCACTTCCCCAGCATCGGCACCTGAGAAAGATATTAACAAGCAGGGATCACTTGCTGGACTTCCCGGAAAAAAAAAAAAAAAGGAAACAGGAAGTGAAACTCACCATTGGACTCCAAATGCTTCGCAGCCTCCTATAATGGGAGAAAAAGGTGTGATTCAAATGGTTAGACTTAAATTTACATGTTGTTAACACATAACCATACAGAACTCTTGTCATAGAGCATTCCTTTCATAGGCAATGAAAGGAGTTCAGTTCAAAATGCAGTTTGTGCAGGCTCAAAGCCTACGCATAAATTAAGAACAGGTTGATGAGATTACACGTTTCATTATCGTTTCCTTTCTCCATGTTTCAACACCCTTGAAGAATGCCTTTGTTGATGTAACTACAAACAATTGCAATCAGCAAAAAGAATTAGAAGAAAGAAACATGAGTGAATGGGAATGAAATTCAGCTAACATTTACCTGTGAAAAGAACAATGAGCAGTACTGTGACCATCCAGTCTGCAAAAATCACATTTAAAGCAACGCCTAGACTAATACCAAGCATAAGCATTGGTTGGATGAGCAGAGCCAGATCATAGTCAATAAGGGGCATGTCAATCGTTGGGTGCCTTAGCTTAAGATTATAGTAAACAGATGAAACTGCCGCACCCATAATCATACCTGCCAAAATTATATACACTAAAATCCATTACTTTGCTAGTAACAAATGAATTATTTTCTGGCAAACTAGCCTTTGTGAATGCCGCGTTCCTGTTCACACAAACCCATTAGTCAAACTGATAAATCACAGTAGATAGGTAATTTTCCGTAAGCTGAACTAACCACATGAATCAAAAAGGTTTTCCTTTTTCTATAATGGGGAAGAGTGGCTTAAAAACAAAGCAACCCATATTTACACAGAAAATTCGATGGTCTCTTACATTTAGAAATAGCTGTTGCAGATTTAGGATCAAACCCAATAATGAGGCGAAGCATGGGAACGAAAATGCCTCCGCCACCAACACCACCTACACTCCCAAAGGCAGCACTTAAGAATCCAATGGTTGAACCCAAAACAATCTGCCAACCAAATTTCATTTCCTGCTCGCAAAAACATTCATATATATATATATATATCAAACTCACATAAAGTCTTAATCAACAATTAAACCAAAAACCACACAAGTCAAGCACTTTTTGATTCCATCCACAAAATAAGCACTCAATCCAACAAAAAAAGATGTGCCTTCTACATATGTGCTACCAATTAATTAAATAACCAGTGCATAGAAAGTCACCCATCTTTTCATTTCTTTTTATTTTAATGAACACTAAATGTTCTTTAAGAAAAGGGTATCAGGATTTTACCGGCCAAACATGTTGATAACCTTGTTGATCAGGCTGCCATAAAAAGCTCACAGCTTTGAGAGCATAACTTGACACAGAATCTCCAGTTTCATCCGTTCTTGCAGATGTTGCTTCACGTGTCAAGCCTCTTTCAGCTGAAACAAACACAAAAGCTAACAAAAAGTTGATCAGAACCATCAACACCGATTTCAAACCCCTCCATTTCCCTCCAAATTCAGCCATTTATCGGATGCTGAATGCTCTTTTACTCTCTCCTAAGTCTCTCTCCCTCTCTCCCTCTCTCCCACTGAAAGTGCTTGTCTTTAAATGTCTTTCCTCACAAAGAAACAAGACTGACGCATGCAAATGGCTAGTTTATCTTAACCGAAGAAGAAAACACCAGAAGAGAATGGAGAGGAAATGGAAAGGAGACGTTAGTAACTGTTATGCTCGTACGTGTTGTCAGCTGATACATGCTTAAAAGCCAGGAAGTGATTCCGACGTGCTATGAGCTGATAGCTTATTAAAGGCAGTGTTTCAAAATATAGTTATAATTATTTTGTAAAGTAATTTTTATTTAAAAATATATTAAAATAATATTTTTTTATTTTTAAAAAATTATTTTTGATATTAACATATTAAAATTATATAAAAATATCAAAAATATCAATTTAAAATTAAAATAATTAAAATTGATAGCTGCAATTTTTTATCAAAATTAAACATCACTTGTTCATTTTTAAAAAATATTATTTGGATCACTTGAGTTCTTATAAATATTAGGTTATAAACAAATTAGATCTCTAATATTATTATTATTATTTTTATTGTTATTATTATTATTTTTATTATGCCATCAATCTACACGTAACTAAATAGTAATTTACATAAGTAATTTTAGTCTATCAATAATGTAATATTAAAAACAATTAAACTCTTTGAAATATTACTAAGTGTAGCAATTATGAGGGAAAATGATTTACATATAAATCTTTCTTACTAGATTTTCATTACACCTATAATATAATAAATTTTATAGTAATGATCACACTATTTGATAAACCTAATAAATTTTAAATACTTAGCATTTGCATGAGATTTTTGTGTGAAATTGTCAACAATCCGGATGATTATAAGTTATTATAGTCAAATACAAATGATTTGTAATTAATTTTAAGTAGAGTAGAGGGGTGGGGACAGAAGAGTGACCCCGGGCGGATCTCACATGAGGCAAGGGACCCTATTAAATATTCTTGTTTGATTGTTATTCAATGGAGGCCTCTTATATATGTATATATATGTTGTTTTTAATGTTTATCCCCTCACATATTAATATGGATTTTTATAGTGAATTTTTGGAAAATTTTAAATTTAATGCTTGAACTTTTATTTTACACAATTGAATCATTTTCAACCCAAATTAGAATCTCATTGCATATTTTTTTAGAGAAAGTATTGTATTGAAAATAAAACAGATAAAATAAATAATAATTTTCAAATTAGTTTGCAAAGTTGATGTTAACCCCCTATCTTTTCTAATCCCCCATCATGGTTAAAAACATTAAGGGTGCGAGCCTTTTCTTGCTATGTCAAATACTTGTCATGACTTGCAGGCTCAATAATGTCTATTATTTTTTTTTTAATTTTTAATTTTTAATTAATATTTTTTTATATGTTTTTAAGATAATTTTTAAATTTATTTTTTAATTAATACCCTTTTATTTTTTAGTTTATTTACATTTTTTTAAATTGTGATTGTTGTTTATTATATTAGGTGTGTTGAATTTTTCAAGAGATTAGTATAATTCATGTGTAACTTTTTTTTTAATATTTTATATAGATTAGTTATTTATTTTTTTATAATATTTTTAATACATTTAGTCTTACGTAGTATTTTTTTTTCTTTTATTTCTAATAAATTTTATATGTGTGTAAATTTTTATTACAAATTAATTTAAATAAATAAATTCATTAAATACAATCAGTTAAATAACTCATGTTGTAATATTAGAATCTTGATCTATATTTGTCAATCAATTTTATCAATTACTTTTTTATTTATTTTTAATAATTTTTTTTCTTTTATTTACATAATTGGTTCGTGATTTATTTAATTTAATACATGTAGAAATTTTTAGATGTATATTTATGACTTTCTTATGTTAAAAAACATGTTAAAAAATTCTACATATTTAAATTTTTTTTATCATATATTGATATTTTTAGTTTCATCCTTTAATTCAACTTCATAGTGTATTGTTGTTTTACATTTTGATCCTTTTTTTTTTGTTAATGTTTTTTGTTCTTTTCAATTTAACTCTTAAAGTGAAAATTTATTGTTACACTTTAATTTATTTTTTTATTTCTATTTTAACCCATATTCTTCTAATTGCTATTTTTTATTTTTTATGAAATTATTTTTTTGATTTCATTCTTCAACATTTCATTTTCTATAAATTAAGCTTCATGATACTTTCATTATAGTGCTTTTGATATGATAACTAAAGTTACGTATTTGAAAAGTTAATAAAAATTAATTTTTTTTCATATTTTCTTTTCTGATATCATCGTTTGATGTTGTTTTCTTAATAAAAAATCATGACTTTGTGGTTTTCTTTAAATTTTTTTTTGTAAAATTATTTTGATCTTATGATATAGAATACAAGTTTTTCAGGTTAATTAAAAATAATTTGCTCCTTAATGTCTAGATATATTATTTTAGGTTGACTCGCACAACTTTTTTTATCCTTTTTTAACCATATTTCATCCTTCTATATTTAATTGGCTAAAATGTAAACAATATTAACTTTTTGCTCTCGGATAAAGCTTTTATTTTTTCCAATGTTATTATGATCATATATATATAATTTCTCATTTTCTATCATTTCTTCTTTTTTTGTTTTTTCTTTCTATATGATTCATATAAATCTAGCTTATTTAGTTGGTTGAGACTATTATTGTTTCAAAAAAAACAATACGCTTACAACACTAAATATTTTATTAAAAAATTCATACGAACCCTCAATATATTACGAGCATCAATCTAATAAAAACTAAAATAAAAATAAAAAATATTGTATGCGTAGATTTATTTCACTGTTCACCATAATAGTAAGATGACATATTTTCCATTTTCAAAAAAAAAAAATCCTACATATTGGGGATATGTTGATATTTTTACATGGCACGTTAGTAATTAAAGATTTGTGTAGGGTTATAACTGTTATTTTATTTTTTTAAAATAGAGAATAACTTAATTGCTCTTGAGTGTAGAATATTTAAAACTAGCTAAGAGAGACATTTTTTTCTTTTTTACTTTTTAAAAGAAAAATAAAACGACATTTTAACCCTGAAATAAAAAAAAAATAAGACTTGTTGTCAATTCTTTTGGTCTTTGCATATAGGTTTTTTTAGTTAATTCTAAGAGCATCATGTACACTTTCATCATTTTGGTTTGATAAATTATTTTATTATGTAAAAAGTTGTTAGCATGTACAATACACACACCAGCATTGGAGAGGTTGCAATGCATTAGGAATGAAACATGCAGCGCCTTCTAATGACCAAAATTATCTCTCTGTCATGTTGTTGGATGCAATATCGCATTCTTTTTCTAATGATGCAATGTGTGGTAGGGAAAAGAAGGTGGGTTATATGTTATGGATCATTTTTTATTATTTTTTTTATTTCTCACCCATTAAAAATTACAAATTGGCCCTCTTTTATTTTACTATTTCAACCCATGTCCTTAATTTTTTTATTTATAGTTTTTGTTCTTGATCATTTAATAAAAATTTTATTTATTTTCAATTTCATCCTTTAACTTCAATCTATCATATATTATTTTTTTAAATTGTTCTTTATTTTTTTATTTATGATTTTTTTCATGCCTTTTCATAGAAGTTTTATTGATTTGCAATTTTATTTTTCAATTCAAATTTATGAAACATTATTTTTTTATAATTTGGTCCTAATTCTTTTTATTTTTTTATTCTTTTGTTAAAGTTGTTATTTTTTTAATTTAATTCTCAAATAAATAATTTTCTCTTTCCCTTTAATTTATTATTTATTTCAATTTTAAACATCATGTTTTAATTGTCATTTTTACTTTGAATCTTTTTCTTAGAGATTTTTTTCTTTCAATTTTAGTATTTCATTTTATAGGGATTGAGATTCATGGTATTTTCATATATGATTTTTTCGATTTAATGACTTGAATCATGAGTTTGAAAATGGTTGACATCCTTTTTCTTGGCTTTTTTTTTTCAATTTTGTTGATCGACATTGATTTATTGAGTTTTTTTTTTCAATCTATGTTTTTTTTTCAATTTTTATCTCATCCCTCAACATTAGGTTTATTGGGATTGGATTTCATAATTTTTTTAATTTAATTTTTATAAGGATATCAAAATCTCATAACCTCAACCACAAGTTTCATAAGCTGACTTGAGTTTTTTTTTGTTTTTATAATTAAAAGTTGACTTGAGTTTTTTTTTTATTTTTATAATTAATTTATTTTTTTAATTTTATCATTCAACATTGGATTAATTGATAATTAGCTTTGTAATTTGTTCTGACCCGGATCATAATTAGCTTTGTAATTTGTTCTGACCCGGTCACAGGTTCAGTAGCTTAACCATTATTGATGCCAATCATTTTTTCAAGGTTTTTTTAATTGTATTTTTTTCAATTTCATCTTTTATTATTTGGTTTATTACAAATTAAACTTTATAATTTATTTGATGTGCTTTCTATTGGGATATCATGGTCTAATGACCCGACATACGAATTAGTATGTTAACTCAAGTTTATCCGAATTAGTTTAATATGTTGTCATCTCAATATTTATATAAAAAAATCATCTTAAATATTTGAGTTAAATTATATTTTTATGAATTATATGGATTATTTTTAGATCTTTCAAGTCAACTAAGTTACATAGGGTTAATTCCTATATGATTTAAAAAATAATTTTATTAAAATCAACTTTTTTTACATTTTTTCATGTTAAAAATGGCTAATGATCTAATATATCTGAATAGAGGTGGAATAAAAGTAGCATAAACAGCTACAACACCCGAATTCACAAATTTCTTAATACCATGGTTCAATATGAACTCTGTACTTGTTGACTTGCTAAACCTATGGAAACAATAAGAAAGAAGTTAGGGAAAAAAGTTCATTTAAAATAGCATAAATGAATGGAAAAGGATAAGGTATTGTATTTCTACATTATCTATTTTCTTATTTCTCAGATGCAATTTTAAAAATATTTATATATTTTCTTTAATCTAATTACATTTATTATGAACTTAATAAAAAAATATCATTTAATTAAATAAATCAATTACATTTCCGTACATTCCAACATCTAATTACGGAAAAGATTTTCAAATAATATCGAGTAAAATAATACAAATATTAGTAGAATTAAAGAAATAGATGCAGATTGTATTTACATTGTGTACAAGCATGTTATTTATTTCTTTTTTTGTGAATTTGACCCA